GATTATTGTTTCAGGAGGGAAAACTTAGCAATTACCAGCAAGCTGCATAGATGAAAAGGCCAGGCACAGATGCTCCAACCCAGCAAGCCCCTAGAACTCAGCATTCATCCCCACTGGTTAGGTATTTCTGAAAAACTAAAATGAAGTGTCGAATCCCTGGCCAACCAAGACTCTTGAAGGTACCAAATGAAGAAAGAGGAATGTTGCATAGGCTATGAAAAGAAATGCAGGGGGCCAGATGAATGACTACCCTACATGACATCACCCAGCCAGGAGCAATCCAGAAATGCTATCTAAACTCTATAGGGAGAATTTGTGCTTGGGGATAAAACAGGACCAACCAAGCATACCTGTTGTGAGGTTCTAGTTCTGTGGATGGAATCGAGGAGAGTGGCTTGTTAGAAAGAAAATAAGGGGGCCGGCCCCGTGGCTTAGCAGTTAAGTACACGCGCTCCGCTACTGGTGGCCCAGGTTCGGATCCCGGGTGCGCACTGACGCACCGCTTATCTGGCCATGCTGAGGCGGCGTCTCACATACAGCAACTAGAAGGATGTGCAACTATGACATACAACTATCTACTGGGGCTTTGGGGAAAAAAAGGAGGAAGATTGGCAATAGATGTTAGCTCAGAGCCAGTCTTCCTCAGCAAAAAGAGGAGGATTACCATGGATATTAGCTCAGGGCTGATCTTCCTCACAAAAAAAAGAAAGAAAATAAAAGGAAGACTTATAGAGGTGATGAACTTGTTAGGGTACTTGATCTTCATGGCTATTAGTCTGTTATCCCCTCAGAGATTGTAATTAAAAAAAAAATGTAAGCTAAGCATTCCACATGGATTATCTATCTCATTTAATCCTTACAACCACCTAGGACGAAGGTGCTATTATTCTTCTTATATCAAATTTAGATATGTTCAGTACCTTGCCCAAGGTCACAGAGCTAGTAAGTCAGTGTACTGAATCTTACTATCCTATTGATTTCACGAATAAAATAGAATCTATACTACTATATAGGGAAGTCATGGTCCCAATCTAGAATAAAATTAGACTTAAGTAGATATTTTTACATTATCTACAATAACAAGGAAAATAATATTTCTTCTAGTAGAATAAGGGAAGCTACAAAATAGAAACTACCAAATTAGCAATATTGGAGAATGTCCTATCATGCTTTTGAGATCTGTCAGACTCATAGCTCATAGATTAACCCTGTGTCCTAAGCCCTGATCAGGTGAATAAATGTGAGTCATGATTCCTTCCTAACTTGTTCTGTGTCTCAGGGTGGGTTAAGGCTTGGAAGAGGATGTGACTTGGTGACATTACACAGTGCGAAGAGACTGTCCAAAATTCCTATCATGATATGTCTTAACCAAACTTCTATGGTTTATGTATTTTTCTTGGGAGAAATGCCATAGTGTATAGCAAGACTTCCTTGTATTCCAGTGTGTGTGTGTGAGTGTGAGAGAGAGAGAGAGGGAGAGAGAGAGATTTTACTTTAAAACAGTGAGTCTCGGTGGGAGGAGAAACAGCCTTCCCTCAGCAGTATTTACAGAGCACCTACTCTGCTCTAGGTGTTGTCTTTAGTGCTAAGAGTACAGTTTTCAACACAAGGATCAAGGTCCATGCCCTCAAAGAGCTTACATTCTACAGTCTCAAGTTAAGGATTGAAGCATGTAAATGGTATATAATTTAAAAACACATTTTAAAGAAACCCATTTTCTCTCTTAAAAAACTATTATAGGAAATAAAACTGGCCCAGTCCTTCTGGCTAGTGGGAAGATATGCAGAAGATAGAATAAAAGAGAAGTATAATCACTACTTAAAACTATGAGCTTCCCCTCGATTTTCCAGAGATTTGACAATCTAATAAGTTGATGTTGCCTTTGCAAGTGAAACAATTAATATCAAAATTTGGGAGCTCGACTGACACAGTAATTATGCTGGAAAATGTAATTTTGCTTGCATAATAGAGGTAGGATTATTTCAAGGAGATCTCATTAATGTGCTATTCATCAACAAAGAGCAGTGTAACCTTTCTCTTATTAGATTAGTGCAGGGTCATGATGCAAAGGGCCGTTAGAATAATTCTCAGTGTTTTGTTCTAAGAAAATAAATTAAGCGCTGTCTAGAAGCCTAGATATGGAAATTGAAGTCATTGAAGACAGAAAAACAGTGTGGCCACTCATTCTGAAATCAACATAACCTTCTTTCATTTCTGCAAGTTTCATTCCCTTACCCATTTATATAGCAAATTTTGTCAAGTGTCTACTATGTGCCAGGCAGTGCTAGGTGTTGGAGCTATAGTAGAAATCAAAACCAAACACCGACCTTGTTTCAGGTGCTTACCATATAGTGGTTGGTCTCTCCACGTTTCAGGGGCGTACATCCATTCTGTGTATGCTCAACTCTCCACAAGCTTGAAGAATCAGCAGACTGCTAAAAAGATGCATGTCATGTGCAGTTATAAATGGAAACCTTCCAGTGCAGGGCTTCGCAAGGATATTAGACTGAACACTGAACAATGTGAGTTGTTGACTTACTCTTCTAAACCCAGGTTCCATGATCCAATAAGTTTGGCAAATGTTGCTTATTTACCCACCTCTTGGACTCCCACAAGTACCATGGTATAATTAAAGCTTTGAGCAGCCCTGTGATAATGAGATCTATTTCCTTTTTTAACCCAGCATTCCCAAACTTATTGACTATAGGCTCTTTTAACCCCTGTCACATAAATATCCTTTAGAAACAGTGTTCTTCAACTGGAGGAATGTGGCTCATTCTCCACTGGACACTGAGACCTGTTGCTCTTGATATGCCATCCAGAAAGAGGGTATAAGAAACATAAAGCAATATAGTTAGAGTCCACATCTCTTAGGTTGAAATTTCGTCCTCATTGTACTTTACGTCAAATAACTTGGACTTCTGAACCACTTCTCTACTATCATTGATGTAATTTATTTCCAATACAGTTGGAAGTGTAGCTATCAGGGATACAAATAATTGAAGCTGAGACACATTCTTGGGAAAAGGAAGCCTAGAGAGGGCCACTGGGGTATTTTTAAAAATTGACATGACAAAAAAATCAAACATGGATGTCCATAATTCCATTCAAAAAAGAAAATATCCATCATAAATAAATTTTTTTGTTCTTTTCATCTTAATAATGTAATTCTTTTGCTTTTTAACAATTAAAATGTTGTGGTACCAATGTATACCAAACACCCAACACGTTGCCTGGTACGGAGCAGATGCTCAAATATTGGTTGAATGAATGAGTGAGTCAGACAATGACAAGGAACATTGCTAAAGACAAAGCAATGCAGAAAATGCAGAAGGTTATCAGGTTGGGAGGGCCCAAGAAAATAATATATAAAAAAATATTTTGCAAACTGTTAAGTGCTGCATCTAAGGAATAGTTGTGTTTTTTTCCACTAATGATCATGGAAGTACTCAACAGTCTATCGGTCAGAAATTTCCCTGATATGACCAAGCCCTTAATGCCAAATGTATTATACACTGGGATGGCAGTATTCTGACTTAAAGGCCAAGAGAGGAAGGCAATGAGACCAGGATGTCAGGCCTTCAGTACAAGATCTCTGTCCCTCCATTTTCTCATTAATCATCTAGGGGCAATAGCACCCACTCTGTCTGTATTAAGGATCAAGTGAGATAATCTATGTGAATGATAGTATGTAAGAAATGTAAATGATGCTCTATACCCTTCAAAAGTATAAAGCACCAAACAAGTGAAATAGGATTGGATGATAGAAAGTTAAGTCTTTTTATAATGGTATTTGTTAAGACATAATTGTATTTACAACCTGAGGTTTATATATGAGTCATTTAAACAAACATTTACCAGAAATAACAAAGGAAACAAGAAAATTGACTTGATTCAGCACCTTTACAATTTGCAGGGTGCACACAGACGTCTCATTTCCTTATCCTAACAAACCTGAGAGGTGGTTTTGCTCTCCCCATATTACATAGGTAAGAAATTGAATGAGAATAAGTGACTTGTCTAAGGTTGCCCAGTGAGAGCTAGAAGTGATGAGAGTCAGGACTTGAAGTAAGGCCTTATTGTTCTACGTCCAGTGCCCATGCTCTCATAGCTCCTTTTGTTCAGAACATAACTCTTGTTTTCTCCTCCCTCTCCCACATGCTTCTACCCTTGACTTCTCCTTCTCAGTAAATGGCATCATTGTGTCTCAGGCTGATAACCTAAGAGTCAGTGTCTCTCTCTTCTTCACATTTCATACCCAAGTAACCAGTAAATCCTGTCAGATTTAGGCTCAAGTATACATCAAATCCAAGGACTTCTCACCACCACCAGCCCACCACCCTGGTCCAGGCCACATAATTTCTCTCCCAGAATCCTGCTGTCTTCCCCTGTTGGCACTCTTACTCATCCTTACCCCCTCTACCCCCATTCCCCCCATTCCATTCTTCACACAGATGCTAGAATGATCTTTTAGGATACAAAGACGATCATGTAATTCTTCCATTCCAAATGCTCCAGCATGAATTATATCATGTCTGGAATTTGGTTCAGAATAACCTGGGGGGAGGGGGGCCTATAAAGTCACACAAGATGCGGCTCCCACCCACCTCTCCATCCTCATGCCTGCCATTCACCCCATTACTCACTTCAGCCACAGTTCCTACTTCAGGGCCCTCGTGCTTGTGTTCCCTTCTGCCTGCATGTTCGTCCCCAGATCTTCACATGGCTCACTCGCTCACTTTATCTAGGCCTCTGCTGAAATATTACCTCTTGAGACCTTCATTCCTTACCCTACTTCAGTTTTCTGCATATACTTGTCACTACATGAAAATGTGTTATGTATTTAACTCATTATTTTCTTTCTTCCCCACTAGAAGATAAGTGTAATGAGAGTAAAAGCTTTGTTTTTTTCACCACTATATTCTCAGTGCTTAGAACATGATAGGCACACAGTTAATTTTTTGAATAAATAAATAGCTATGCAAAACCCCTTCTCTCAGTTGTGGAGAGACCCCTGGTTGGGAACAGGAAAACCTTAGACTCATTTGATTGCATTCTCAGTCTGTTACCTTGTGCAGGTCATTTACCTTCAGCCGCTGTTTGTGAGCCTGCTTTTGGTGTTAACAAAACTCCTCAAAATGGGGATAATTAGGTGATAGAATTCAGAGGGGGGAGGAGATTAAATCAGCAAATGTTCATGAGTCCTTTGAAAATAGTAAGGCGTTACAGACATGGAAGAGAAAGCCTATATGTGACTTTTGGAGCCTAAACCCCTCAAGGGCAGCACTGGTAGGGTATTTATACCAATCCATTTCTTCAGTGTTTTTCTGCAGCTCTGTACCCCTAAGGCTTGGCAGAGACTCGACTCTGGCAATGTTAGAATCATAAGCCTAGGCCCTTGCGCTCATCCTCAAACCCTAACCTAAAGAACAGCTTGCCCAAGCCATATGGTTCCCAAATGACTATGTGAAATCATTCTTATGCATCATAATTTTTGCTAAGAACCAACTAATATTAAAGTATTTAGGGGCGTTTCACTTAGACAGGGCTGCCTTAATGATAGGAAGGTCTTCTCTTGATTATTCTCAATCTTGTTTTGTTTCTCAGAACCTGCCAGATTGTGTTCAGATGAATGAATAACAAGTCATTACTCAAACCAGATCTAAGCTTAGTGCTGTTTGAAATGAGAAAGCCTCATCCTTTGCAGTTGCCAAATTGATTTAAAGGAACTGACCCTCCTCTCGTGAACACTGTGTGTCCCTTAGGTGATCAGAACTCCTTTCAGAGATTATGCTCTTTGCTCTCTTCTGCCCCTGGCCTCTCAGCCTCTGTGGGGTCTTAGTAGTTCCAACTTCCTTCTCCCCATACCTCACCTAAGGAGCCATCTTGCTTACCCTTTGACCAATCTAGGCACTCGTCACTCGGAAACATTTCTTCCTCAATAGAAGCTAACAGGTAATGCAGTGAAAATTCTGGTTGCTGTAAGTTGTGTTGACACTTTTAGCGTGGATCCTACAGCAATGAACTTCCTTAACAAATAAGTAAAATCTAGTCGTTCACACAAAAGAGGGACAGGGAGGTGGTTTCTTCGTGAAGAGGAAGCACTGAACTGTTCTAAGAGCCTAACCTGCTGCTGCCTCTGCTCCCAGGTAGAGGGGAGGGAAGTATGGGGTAGGAGCTGTTACCGGCTCCTGGAGGCAACTCGATGGCTAAGACAGATTGTGTACCGAGCAAGTTTCAGTAGAGGAGACCGCGGCTCAAGTGTGGGGCTGAGGGTCATGCCTTCCTGCCTCCACTTTAGGGCCTTTAGTTTTTCCTGAATTGAGTCAAATTACAAATGTTGGGTCTGTGTCAAGATAATGAATAGGGAAAAAAAAACTGGTTTCCTGTCATAGTCATAATAATAGTTAGTAAAAGTATAATAGAATCTGCTTGCTGAATCCTTAGGAAGAGCCTAGTAAGTGCTAAGCACTCTACACAGGAATGTTGGCCTGGGCCTTGAGGCTTTGTGTGAGGGTAATCTCTCACTTGCATGCAAGAGAGGTCTGCTCGTATTACCTCAGCTTAGAGAAGTTCTTGTGAGAATGCTTGGTCAGTGAAGAGGTCAGGGAACAGTCTCGGCCTCCTCACAGGCCTCATGGAAGCATCATTCCAGAGCTAGAGCCGCACTGATGGCCAGTGTCCATGCTGCCTCTTCAGCAGCGGCTTCTGGTGCTGTCCCCCCAGTGCTCTGCTGTTATGGAGACGCAGCTATCTGTCTGCTTTTTAACCTGTACAACTGCTGCTTTTCCTTCAAGGTCCAACTCAATGCCCTCTTCTTCCCTGAGTCCTTCTTGATCCTCTAGTTTTTATAGTTCATTTTTGGGGACTTACCACTTTCTTCTCTAATTTATAATTATGTATATGCTCTGTCATACCGGCAGCCTGTGAGCTTCTGCGTGGCAACATCTGTACTTGATTTTTCTTTATCTCAGTAACCCATAGCAGGTCAGTTACACTATTTGCTAACTCTATACTGAGCAACACTTTGCAATGTTCCAGGTTTGGAAAGTGACTGACTAGGAGTCGTGAACCCTTGGCCATTCCTTAGATAATAGTGATGGTGGCCATAATAGCTGACACTGACTGAGGGGTTACTATGTGCCACATTTGTGTCCTGATTTCATTTAATCCTCACAGTAACCCCATAGGGGTAAAGACTGTTACCATCCCCATTTTCCAGATGAGGAAAATTAAATATGGAAAGATTAAATAATTTGCCCAAGGTCACACAGCCAGTGAATGGTAGAGAGCCAGGGTTTAAACCAAAGCCATCTGGCTGCAGATTCTATTCACCATTGTGGGCTTGCACTGAAATAAATAAAATATTTAGTAAATAAATATTAAATGAATAAAAGTTCTCCCATGCACATCTGCTCTAAAGAGGTCCTTTAATCTAACTATTCAGGACTAATTTCTTTGCTGTTTTCATTTAAAGCTGTGCGCATGCCCTCTCTGCTCTGTTGGAGCCTTCTGCAAAGGGCAAGGACGCAGCAGGGAGAGCTTTGGAGGGAGAAGACTGTTCTCAGGACTGTGGCAGAAGAGACCCTTGGGCAGTGCTCTCTGTCCTTGGCAAGTGACAGGCTGCAGAGGTGCCTTCATGACAGTGGCCACCCTTTCAGCTTCAGGCTCATGTGCCTTGTACATGATGAGATTGGAGAAGGCCTGTCCGAGCCAACACTAGTGCAGGCTGCTGTCTGGAAAAGCAGAGTGCGAACTCAAATATGTCATCCTGAGATAGTTCCCAAAATAAACAGACTTTTTCTGCTGACTCCTCTTTTTCCAACTGAGGCCTGACTGTTCCCTCTTTCTCCTTCCTTTTTTTTGTTTCTTGTGAGGAAGATTAGCCCTGAGCTAACATCTGTTGCCAGTCCTCCTCTTTTTGCCGAGGAAGATTGGTCCTGGGCTAACATCTGTGCCCATCTTCCTCTACTTTATTTATATGGGACACCGCCACAGCATAGCTTGATAAGTGGTGTGTAGGTCTGTACCCGGGATTCGAACCTGCGAACCCCAGGCCGCCAAAGCAGAACGCGTGAACTTAACCACTACGCCACCAAGCTGTGCCCCACCTTTCTTCTTTTAAAACAATCTTTCTAGAGGGTGTTTCTCTTCCTCCCTGCCTTTGAGTGATAGGGCTGACATCTGGGAAGAAGGAATTGATGTCCTTCAAAGGTTACGTCTCTATCAGACCTGAAAGTTGTTTACAATTCAGTCTTTGCCTCTGGAGCTCTGAGGCATGGTAAGGAGTTCTCAAACCCTACTTCCGACTCCCAGAGGACTGGAAGGAGGAAGGGTGAGCTCTTGCCCTGAATCAACCAGCATCAGTCAGTAAACAAGTCTTTACTGAGCCTCGACCAGGCGCTTAGGCTTGTGATAGGATGGAATCTTGGCCTGCAGATTGCTTACAACCAAGGGGAAATGACAGAGGTTAGTCAAGATTATAATACACGAAATAATCAGACAAGAATAAGATAATACATAGTTAAACCAAATGTGTGTTTCGGGCTCAGAATTGGTGTGATGCACTGGTTAAAGAATATGGGCTCTGGGGTCAGAAGTTCTGGGTCTGAACTCAAGCCTTATCACCTACTAGCTGTATAACCTTAGCCCAACTATTTAAACTCCCTAGGCCTGGGTTTTCTCATCTGTAAAATGTAGATGATAATAGTGTCTAAAATAAGGTTACTCTGAGGATTAATGAGATCATTCATTCATTGAGTAAAAAAAAAAATCTATTGAGTGTCTTCTTTGTGCAAGTCCCTGTTCTTCTAAGTGCATGGGCTATGCAAATACTCCTGAGATTTCAGTGGCAACAACAACAAACATTTATTTCTATCACATACTACACGTCCAGTGTGGATCAGCATTTGCTCTGCTCCCTTCTCCCTCATTCTAAAACCACAGCCACAGAGCAGCCCCATGGGGGACATGCTGGCAAAGGGAAAAGAGCAGTGGCAAAACCATGCAGCCCCCCAGGAGAGTGGGGGTCACTGCTGAGGAGGAAGGAGATGTGATCCCAATGGAAAGGAGAATCCTGAAGGCCCACAAAGTTAGAACACTGTTGCAGTGATTCAGATGACGGGTCTTTGAGTTCTAGACTTGGATAAGAACAGTAGCAGTGGGGAGAAAAGAATGGGTGGGAGATGGAGAGGAATTAGTGTGTGGCTGTCTTTGAGGAATGAAGGAGAAAGATGGAGCCAAATCAGGAGCACCGGCTTCCAAGCAGAGCTCTGCCCCTACTTCGTTATGTGACTCAGACAAGGCCTTGAACCTCTCTGGGCTTGAGTTGGAACATTTATGAAATGAGAGGCCTGAGTTTGATCTGGAGGTTCCTTCCTGGAGGTTCCTTCTAGCTCTCAGACTCCAAAGTCTTTGTCTTCGAGACCACAGACTACTGGGGGTGGTACTGTTGGGGAGGAAGATTGGTTTGGAGAGAAAGATGTCATAATAACTCCGTTTTGCATTTGTCTCAGGCCATTGGGTTGTGTGCCTTTTCTCTTTGCCTTTGTTCATAGCCCTCATTTTCTCCTTGGCTTTGTTGTGAATCCGAAAAGGAGATAGAATTTACTTTTCGTCTCCAAAGTGGGATCTTTGGGAACCCACAGGGCCTTGAAGTCATGGGACTAATGTAGCCTTGTGTACAATGTTTCTCCAGTATCTTTTGGTATCCTGGCATCTTTATATGCTTCTTCTGGCATATTCCACATTATAACATCTTCACTGGGATGTCAGCCGGGAGTCTGTTTGGGGAGAAACCTTATTATACTCCACCCCCATGCACCCACAGAATCAGAATTTCTGCCAACTCTTCCTCCTTCTTAAGAGCATGCTTCTGTCTCTCTGTTATCCTTTACTCCATTCCTTGGGAAGAGAAGTAACTTGCCTGATTGGCGAGAATCTGGCAGTCATTTGGCCTCTTCTCTGTTGTGCAGAGTTAATGTGTTAACAATCACTGCACTGAAGGACTGCGTGGCCGTATCATTCTCTCTCCTCTTTTGCTGTCTTGGATCACTTGGTTCAGGTAGGATGGGCTC